GAATCATTCGACTTCCCTTTAGGCTGTTTTAAATTGGTTGTTTCACTTTTCACAATCCGATTTTCTCTGGCAAATACTTTGATTATCAAATGGAGTTTGAGCTCGTTTTCTTTATAAAAAACATTTATTTAATATGACGTTTTTGACAGGACCTTTTTAGGAGTAGCAGCATTACTCTGTAAACCAGGCATTCAAGTCTGAAAGCTTATATTTCTTAAAAGTAGGCTATGCATTTGTTCTTTTAGACTCGTCTCTGTAAAATGATTGTTACTATGCGTATTTTGTATTTATTATATTGTATTTATGTATTTTTTGTTCCACCTCAGTTCGTGTTAAGCTAACACTTTAGCTATTTATATCTTTACTCTACCACTGTAGAGTGAAGATATAAATAAAGATATTTATTGTTATACGCATAAAGTATGGATACATGGCAATATCTAAAAAAAAGTTTCCTAGAGAAACATTTAAGAAAAAAAGTTGCAATATTGGTAAGGCTCATCAATTAATGACCTTGAACGTGACTTTGACTTGACTTCAAGATCATTTGAAGTTAGCTTTTTTCAATGGAAATTCCTATTTTTGACACCGGACCTGTAGAAAGCGAGAAATTTTCGTTCAATAAGTCATGACCTTGACTGTGATCTTCAACTAATTTTAGGGCGACCTACAAGATTCAAAAAGGGTCGTTTAAAGGTCTAATTGAACGCGACCTTGACCATACCCTTGAAGCTTCTGCGATGGTCGAGGATTTAGCAGGACGTGAATGTACTTTAGCTGAGTAAAGAATAGGAGTATCATTACTTTGACCCTTGTAGCCAAGGTGACGGACAAGCACATTATAGTGACCTTGACCGTAAAGTGTTTTTTTACATTTCCGACAAAAGGCAAGGAGTTTATTTAAAAGTTCTGATTTTCAAATCACCTTCAACGTCATGGTCAGGGTCATTGGCATGCATATTCTTGTACGTAAAATTGTCTAGCATTTCAAGATTCAAAAACAGATGCTTCCCATCAAAAGTTTAATTGAGCTTCAAATGACCTTGGTGATCAAGGTCAAGATTATCAAGATGCTTGAGTATAAGGTTTTCTGCTCTTCACATTTCTGGTGTCAAAATTGTGATTTCCAGTCAAGAAAACTGTATCGACTTTCAAATGATCTCTCACAATAGTTATTAGAATAATACTCTCGTTTTATCCTCATTTAGTGTCGGCAGTGGCGTAAACCAATCTTTATACGATTTATTTTTGCTATTCTTAGATGTACCACCTACCACTACTTTAAAAATATTACCATATTTTTCTAAATCATCTATGTTAGTGGACCATATAGGACAAAACTTCTATTTTCTTTTACCTTTGTTGTAAGTGAATGAAATTTGATCCAGTTTTGGACGCTAAACTCGAGCATGACAGTTAAAAAAGTTGGAAATCAATGGATAGATGTAGTGAAGCCTCCCGTATCGAGATATCAATCTCCACTACCGCAAATGATCCCGAAAAGTACATTTTTCATCTGACCAGGTGCAGTGCATGTCCATTCGCTTCCCGTCAAGCACCCAAATAAATCCCCAAATTGAATCGTCGCTTGTTGTCGGCCAAACAAATGGATCCAGCAGGCCTGGCGAACACGCCGCACACAGCGATGCTCAAATGTTTCATGCCTCCGCTATCTGCCGCTGATAAATCATAGGAGGCCGGCGGATGTGACATAACCTCACTCTCCGTAACGTCGTTCCGGCTCGAACGCACGCCGACAGTTGTTTTGCCGGTGAAAAATCTGTATTCATGCTACGAGACAGGGATGAATTGGGCGGAATTCATATTTTTATTGCAAAATGGGTAAGGAAAGCGGCGGTGCCAGCGTTTGAAAAATAGCTACGCGGGTGATTTTTGTTTAAATCTGGTTGATTTTTGCATGTACTTTTATATTGTAATCGCAAAAAATGCCGTCAAGGACTCTGCACTTCCTACGCAATGCCGTCTTAAGTTCATAAAGGATTTTGTTCTGAGTAATTTATATCCTCTGAGAAAAAAGTCAAGTTACGAATATGTACAACAAGAGATTGAGCCGATTAAGTCAGTCAAGCAAGCTCATACAACTAGTCGATAGACATTCCTTTCCTGCCCTACCCGAAGTTACCGTCCATCATCAGTACGCATAGATTAGTCAGCCAGACAGGTTTACCGGGCGGTGAGCTCAGATAGCAGGAGTACGCGGATCGAAAACATTTTTGTCAGTCAAGTTTCAAACTGAAACTTTCGGGTAAATCGATGATGTGTGAAATATGGATAATAGGTGCATATAATTATCAGAGTTGAGAGCGGATAAATATACTCAGATTAAAATTTTTTCATACATCCTTCTCCACCCCCTACGATACCAACCACCAAACTTCAATCCCTACCATTTTTTTTCTGATTGAATGATTTTAATTTTTTTTTTTCGTTTTTGGCGTTTTTCTCTGCCGTCACTAGACCACTTTCCAAGCTATAGATAGGCCAAGGATTAGCGGACATACAGACCGACAGATTGACGGAAACAAGTGACATGATTTTTCGTGTTATATAATAACATACATAGAATCTCATTTTCGATTTTTTTTGCGATAACGATACTTTCTCGCCCGTAGGCTGGGGAAGTAATAAGGACTTTAAGAGCAACCGTTTTGATTTGAGGATCGCAACTTTGATGTGTTTATAAGAGATATTTCCTTGAACGAAGGTCCATTTCTTAATTGTAACAGCTATATTCCTTTCAAAAAATGAAAAAACCTTATTTCAAATACCCGTAATTTTGAATCAGTGTCAAACTCGTGGTCCTTAATTGCATTGTGCGATTTTTTTTTAGATTATCTGTTTCCATAGAGCATTTTAACTTTTGCATCCTAATGAAGAAAGTAAACATATTTGAAAGCTCGGCGAGAAGAAAGAGCCGAATTTCCATCATGAATTGCTTTGCGAAAATACTTATCGGCTCATCTTTCCATGATAACAGATAGCCATTATATCTACATGATGTAATCAACATACAGATGAGTTAATAAATAAATCTTCTTCTTTTTCCTGGTACCTCACACATCTAGACGTGTACGCATATCCATGGGAACATCATCCTATAGAATGAACGATTGACAGCACCGGATGGTCTGAAACTTATGCCTTTTCATTGGAATTGCAAGCATTTATATTCCACGACCGGTCGTCGAGAGATTTCTCGTATTGCACATGATGCCCCGATGAAATTATCGATGCGAAACTCATTACCAGTCTGTGTTTTTTCTGGAAATATTTGCGCTATGTAAGCATGCAGTGAATTTGTATACACAAAAGTTTCCAGCAACAGTCTTTCTCGTAAATATTGACAATTCGCGAATTTATCGATCTGTCAGAACGCTATGCTTTCTGAGCTTTCCGATATATTAGGTAGGGTCAAATCGAACTTCTAGTTCCGTCTCAGAACTAGAACCATTAGAACCATTTCAGAACCGGTTTTGAATCAGTACGGAATTTGTTGGAACAGAAAACTGTCAGTTACCGAATCAGTTTTTTGATTTTTATGGTCTGTCCAGTTCAGAATTAGTTCGATGGCTTGTTGAAACAAGGCTCTAGTCAGCTCAAAAATCGCAAAAAAACTTATTACTGGAAATTTAAGAATAAGCATCGTTCCAACCACTATTAGTTTTTACTACTTCATACCTTTCTGAGACAGCATCCAACGTTTCACGCGCACGCCGGACATGAGAAAACATCGTGGATTGAGCACCGTTTTCACTCCGAGCTTGACTATCCCTTTTTCATAAAGGACGAAACATCAATCATACCAAAGTTTCTATGGTGCCGCTGTGGCTATACTCCTCGTCCTCGGAAAACAAACAGGATATTAAATTTAAAGTGCATTTTTATTAAATCGCTACCGTAGACCGTGGCCACCCCGCCAGTTCGCCGGCGATATGATTTAAACGTTGTACTTGAACGGATGGTCATATATTACACAGCGAAAACGGGGAAAGCCGAACACTAGAGATCAAGGGCGTAACAATTCAAGGCGAAAACTCATACCATGGTCCGGAATTAAAATTAGCTTTTTAACTTGGTTCGTTATTAGTATTATCACTTATATCACATATACATAGGTCAAACCAGACTCCCGGTGAATAATCCTTGAGCGCAGTAGAATGGGATATGATTCCAAATTTCTGACCGCTGTTGACGGTTATCAAATAAAGGAAAACAACGGACAAATTCTGAAATATCAGTGAGTGATCACCGATTATGTTATTACAAAGTTATACTTTTTTGTGAATTTATTATACTTGCACAACTTGTAACTCGCAAACTGTTAACTCTAGAATCTTCCACGTATTTAGACTTGTACTTAGAATAATACAATTTGATAGAAAACATTGTTCACTTCGATCTATCTAAGCAAAATCAAAAGATGCTGACAAAAGCATGCCAAAATCCAGTAGATGAATCGAAGCAATATTTATTACTTTTCTAATCAACTTTCAAAGATACCTCAGGGTCAGGCTGGAATTTTTCGCAAAATCGTTTGATTCAATTTTCTAAAATTGCGCGTTCTTTAAGTCAGAAACCACTGATATCAGATCCTTCCGTTCATCTTGACTCCTGATCAAAAGGGTATGGAGTATAACGCACTAATTTTAGCGAACTTACCTGGAAACTCTTTTCCATCAACATTTTGATGACTTGCGCACCCCATAACTCGGAAACTATCGATACTCAATATTTCATGTCCAGAGACTTTTAATCAAACTGGTATAGACAACATTGTGCTAAAATATCAGCCAATATGGCTATTTATTTGTTTTCCACCAGGATTGCAGAACATCTGCGCTCATATTAAGTATATTCGTAGTTCTGTAAAACTGTTCATTGAGATAATAAATTCCGTGCACTTAGGCAATTGAGTCAGTATCCTTAATCTCTTTTGTTTTTTTTATACTCCAACTACCACGAAGGCCTAAGGCCTAAATACCCATTGAGTACCGTGGGGCTATAGGGGGATATAGGGGAAAGGGGGGACGCCACACGGACTCTGGCGAGAGAACACGTGTACATGCAACATGCACACATTCTGGCTCCGCCTACGAGATCCGCCGGGTGGTACCTCCACGTTCGACAGTCAGAGACCGTCTACCACCTACTGACAATCACAACATCCATAGCCAAGAGAAAAATTTCTCCTGCGACGTGACTCGAACCCGCACAGCGCACGGCTACTGATCAGGAGACCGAATAGTCTACTACTGCGGCCCCCGCTGCTGCCTAGAATGGGACATTTTTACAAGTATATATATTCGCCCTGTTCTATATCGAAGACGAGAACCATTTTATCCAGATAGAAATATATCTTTGCTATTTAAATGCTTATCGTTTTATTTTTTGCTAATAACAATTAATATTCTTTGTGCTAAAACCTGAGTCATTTCACTTTCCACGCCTACTAGCGGGGAAGTATTGTTATCGCGAAAATATTCGAAGTCGAGATATGTTTTTGGACGTTACATGACATGCACATCATGAAAAAGCATGTCACGCGTCTCCTTCTGCCTGTCTGTCGGTCTGTCTGTTCGCTAATCTTATGACCTCCTTTGACTTGAGTAGTACTGCTCGCATTTTACTAAAATTTTTACACAATGTTGCTGCTATACCAAGGACGAAAGAACTTCATCGTTTTTGACAATCGGTTCAGTGGCGGCGGACAAACAGGCCAAAACCGAAAAATAGAATAAAAGTCGCTCAAACAAAATTTTTTTGACGTTTCACGAGGATTTGGGGGTGGATATTGTAGCGGGTTGGGGATGGCATATCTAATTTTTTTTAAATTCACATCATAGATTTATCCGTATATTAGCCCTTCAAACTTAAACAAAATATTTTCAGCAGACGGATTGCATACCTACCGGCAGCGTCTGCGTCAGCACCCAGCGTGACGTCAGCATTGGCAAGTGTTTTTGTATGACACGTATTACTGCCACAGCACAGTGTTTCCTATGCTTACGCCGCGTTAGGTATAAGAATAACAATAACCTACCTTTATTCGACTCTTTTAAAATACATATTTATTTTGAGTAAGGTGAGGTACTAAGAATTGAAATTAAAGAATGGCTGAGTGTTGCCTTAAGGTATTTTCCAAGTAAGCCAAAGATTAAATTGACAATCATGAATAAGAATATCGTCATATAATAATAAAGTAATACATGGGATTTGTGACAATTACCTACTAGTGATTAGTCTATACAAGTATACATGCATAAATTCCAAGTCATTCAATATAAAATCATAATGTCCACTCGAAAATCGTATAGTCAGTCTCACTCTAACTGAATTTTTTTAAATTGATCTCATTATCGGGGAGATGCGACATTACCAGATGGACTACCAGTAGAGCAAGGAAAGACTGTCTATGGACTAATTGTATGGACCTGTTTAACTGACCTTTTTCTCAGAGGTTTTAGATTGTGTTGAACCTACTTGACACCATTTTTTAGTTAGATGGCTCATACTATCTTTATATTCTAATTTAGTGCCGACACTGTTTGGAACCATAGAAAACGTTACGGACTTTTAGCCGTGGACATAGTAGATTGTTGGTTCGCCTCGCCTCGCCTAGAACGTTTGTCGCGGATTAATGGTCACCAAACTGGTAAACACGTAATTTTTCCGACGACGACAAAGCGATTTGCCCAGTTACCAACTAACTCCAAGAACAAATACGTTTTCCAGGATCACAACAAAGCGACACATGCAACTTGTTTGTTAAGTGATTTACTAGGTGAGAATTGAAATTAATTTGTTTTCGTGCTTTCAGATGTGTAAAACACAAAGTGAGCAGACGATAACAGTACAGTTTAGCAACACCTCAACTACAATGCAAAACTCATAGCTCCTTGTTTTGGCTTGGTATGTGTATCATATCAAAGATCAGAGTTACAGACTAGGAATAAATATCTAAGCGCAAAAGGTATTGTAGCATGTACCAAAAGGTAATTTTTCATCCGCTCCGGTTGAATCACTTGCTTTTCATGAGTTTAAAAGCGTTTCACTATTTTGATCCATGACTTTATTATTAATTTTGCCAAACTAAACTATGGCGCAATCCGTTCTAGAACTTCCTTTATCATCCAGAATTTTAAGGAGGAATGCTTCCTGGAGGATTATTTTTTATGTGCCGACAAGCATAACGAAAGCACTAGAAACAAATAGGACGAAATATATTTTTCGAAGTTTTTGTATCCATTAACGGTCGTACAAATGAACGGAAAACTTCCGGAGTTATGAAGATGAATTATTTGTTTTTAGCTCCGGAACTTTCCCGGAAAACAGAACGAAAACATTGTGTATTAATTGTGAATACAACAAGAACATTCCCTTAGAGATTTTCCTACAAACAGAGCGATTATGCTTCCTTTTAACATTTATTTTGTTTCTTACTCTTACTTTATGTAAATTTACACATTTATTCATTATTATATTAACAGATTAGAAGGCCAAGCAGATGATTCTTTGACACGGCATGATGAAGTCATGTATCATCATTAATTAATATAGGATATCTTGACAGCTGGGTCGTTCCTTTCCAGAAACAACTACGTTTCAATTAACAAAGTTAATTTGTGGTTATACACCACCGAAAACGTAGAAAAGAAATTAAAGATAAGTACTTATTTATTTGGTACGGCATTTCAAGTATTGCCCTGTCACGTGTTTTGTTTGAAATTATGCTGCTTGGAGTTGTCACTGTCCGATTCAGAAACACGAGTTTGTTTATATCTTCCTACAATGTCCACCCAGATGACCTTTGCACTATTAAGGACAATAGCGACGAATACGCTCGTGGAGTATTAATCGAATCTTGAAGATGCTCACAGTAACTTAAATTAAATCAATAACTGTAGGAATATGCCAATTTCGGTGTTTAAATTCAGTTTCTTCATAAACTAGGTCAACCTACACACCACACGGGCCCTGATTTAGATATTGACTCACCTAGTGTTTTCTAGAACTTAATACCTCGGTTAATTGAAGGCATCGGTATAGGTGAAAAAATTGATTATGAAACATACCTTAGTCCAAAAGTTGATAGTTTGCGATATACATTGTGTCAAAGTTACAATTTGGTTTTCTATTTTAACTTATTGCTTCAGAAGTATTTCAGATTTTGGCATAAAACTCGGTATAGGGGGTTTTCTAGTATGAAAAACAAGAATTCGTTATTTTTTATGGCCAAACTTCTAGACGGCACACAACAACTGAGCAAAAAATCTTATTTCCTCGTATTTTCACAACAAAAAAGGTTTACTTGTTAGATGTGTCTAAAGCTAATAGTTTTCGAGATATTTGTTTTTAAATGTTCCAATGCATTATTTGTACCATGATGATAAAACATTTTTATAACATAATAATCAATATGTTTAACAACTTATTGTCAGCCTAAAATTATTCATGTAGTTTAAATCAATATTATGACAAACATTAGAAACCATAGCAACGCTATTCAGATACTATCCAAAGCAACTTGAATATTACGTTATAAAAATGTTTTATCATCATGGTTCAAATAATGCATTGGAATTTCTAAAAACAAATATCTCGAAAACTATTAGCTTTAGATACTTCTAACAAGTACACCTTTTTTGTTGAAGAAATGGGAGGTAACAAGATTTTTTGGTCAGTTGTTGTATACAGGGTAGCACAAAGAAGTTATGATAAGTTATTTTCCGAAATAGTGCTGTAAGTGGCGCCCTCTAGAAGTATGACCATAAAAAATAACGGACTCTTGTTTCTCATACTACAAAACCTCCCTATACCGAGTTTTTGCCAAAATCTGAAGTACTTCTCCAGCAATAAGGAAAAATATAAAATCAAATTGTAACTTTGACACACTATATCTCGCAAACTATCAACTTTTGGACTAAGGTATGTTTAGGTCAATTCACATATTCTGGTCTGTAGTATCTCAAGTTTCGAGATTTCCCAACCTTTCGCAGACACTCTGTATAGTCTGTAAAGTCCCAACCAGAAGATATCTAATCCAACTAAATTGAGCATACGTATCGCAACACTGCCAGCCAATTATTCCTGCAACTACAATATTCCTGTCGACCACCGTTTTTAAACGCCAGCGTTGCCATCTCTTTCTTTCCCGAGGTCGAGAAATTCAAAGAATGTTAAATATTAGATTTAATTACGAGGGAGATTGAGGAGTGATCTTAGGGGTCATAAAAGTTCCACCACAAGCTGAAAAAATATCCGAGCAAATTCCAAAAGAAATGTTTGTCCCAGTATTGCTCGTAAACGATTATTTCAGCAATAGGAGATAATAACAGACATTTCTAGTATCGACCTCCACTTCGAATAGGAGTAATCATCAACCATAATGTATAATCAATAATGATACACATTAAACGCCAATTCTGATGAAAACAATTTTTTCTGTATCCAAGGAATTCACGACCGTGGATTGGCTTATGCAACTGTATCTATCAGCATCAATACATCATCTATATAATGAGATATACTTTCCATAGAAGAGACAACAATGAAAGGTTGAGAATATAGGACGTTCATATTTAACATCGTTTAGAATCCAAGAACATTATCCTCACGATTTTTCAAAATTTGTTTATCTAGTAAGTTGATTAAATTCATCGAGTCTGATACTTTTGATAGGTCGATATCTCAACTTGTAGACAGTAAAATAACATGCATTTCTGGAGTCTCATCCTTTTTCCATAGTTACAGTTGTAAAGGGAGTTAGGGTTCAAAAGGAAGAAGCCATTCTTGCATTCTCTCTGTCTGTCGGTAGCCCTAAGGTTGAAATTTAATATTCAAATACAGGAGAGCTGAATTTTAACTCGGGACGTTCGTTTCAACGTGGAATAAAAAGTTCGTTAATGTCATGTAAATTTTCGGTTCGCTAGATAAATGGATTTACAAAAGTTATATAAATATATTTGAAATACGGTGGAATCCAAGATCAAGCCATATAGGATGGGGTCTGTTTGGTAAAAGGGAATGAGATATGTGGAGGTATATTTTGCTCGATTTTATGTTAGACCCTTCTATATTTTATTATATACAGGGTTTATGAGCAGTCTTTGGGGCTTTTTGAATGCCAAAATACGTTAACTGGTGCAT